GATCAATAAAATCTTTACATTAGAAAGGAATCATACCTTGTTTATTCATTTTTATTGTCTATTAATTTCTGGTAGTTAATAAGTTCATAATCAAAATTATAAGAAAAGCATTTCTGGTACGTATAAAGTATTCATCGCATTCTTTCATTGTGTAAGCTACCTTCACTCATCTTTATTGGCGGATTTTGTTGTTGATATAATAATAATAATTTACTTTATTCCAAAAAGCGTAATTGTGATATAGAATGGAATTTTCAGCATTAATCACAATATTGCATCTAGTTTCCTCAAATTATAATTAAAATTAATCACACAGAAGATTTTTCACAATTACCTATAGGGGTAATGTCAAAAACATGCAGCATATAAAATAGAAATAATAATGATGACAGCTAAGGTAATAATAATAATACAAGTGGAAATTGCTGTGGGCTTGTTTCACACAGTATTGTTGATGCGGTATAGAAATCCTAGCATGTTTAAAAATGTTGAATATAATGTTCTCTTTACATGGTATGGCGAGGGAAAAAACAAAGATTACAGCAGTCATAGAGATAAGTTGATGTTTGCAGTTATGAAAGTAAAAATAACGAAGCAACAGGACCATAAATATAATAGAAATAATAAAAGTAAAACTTGAAAGTATATAAGGATGGATGGAGGAAATTGTTTATTTACTAGATGAATAAAAGTTAGTCAATTCTTGCCTGACGCTATTTTCATCACATAAAATACGTGCGAAGTATGGTATCATAGAATTTTGATACTTAGACGTGCGAGCATACAGTTTTCTGAAGTTACTTCTGGTTCTACCTGAGGAGATACAAGGCGAAAGCTGAGGGTGAAGTGGACGCTCCAAGTCAAACAAAATCCCTTTAGCAAATTTACTGCACGAAGTCAAGTGCCTATCGACAACGACGTTAACTATGTAGTCCACTGGGACACCACTTATCCTACTGACAGTCTCCAGCATCCTACGAATTGTGACATAGTCCTTTTGAAGCAAACCAGGAAAGAATAAGGGTGAACAATACAGAAGAATAGGTAGGATGCAAGAGTTTATGAACTGTAAGAGGAGGGGTTGAGTTATACCCGAGTGCCTTAACTTCTTAATGTAAAATATCAGGCGGAATATTTTACTGGAGATCGCTGAGACATGGGAAGACTAGGAGAGATCAGAAGAGAGAATAAGTCCAAGATACTTAATTTCTGATTTAATTCCTACATCATTGTCATCAATCTTACAACTGTCATGAGAATCGACGGTTTCTTTTAACTGTCGTTTACATCTTAAGCTGAAATTAACAGTTTGACATTTAGAAGGATTCAGTTTAAGACCGTTGGACTCAGACCATTTACTAACTCCCGACAGAAAGCTATTTATTTTGGTACAATCTAGCTAGGAGTTAACAGCCACTGAAACTGTTAAATCATCAGCGTACTTCACAAAGTTTATTTCATCAGACTGAGGCAAGTCATGTAAGAAGAAAGAAAAAAGAAAAGGAGAAAGGACAGCGCCTTGAGGGACACCACCTCCAGTAAGCAATGAAGTGGGAGATTTCCCTTTATACACGGTGTACTGCTTTCTTTCTGAGAAATAGGAATGTAACCAGTTAACAACCCAACATTCTGTTTGACTTGCTTGCAAGTTTATTTAATAAGATGTCCCTAGGGACCGAGTCAAAAGCAGATGTATAGTCTAGGAAGGCACAACGAACAAATTTAGCCCCCTTGTCTAGACTGGAAGCAATGTTATGATATAAGGCAGCAGCTGCATCAATAATTGGCTTATGAAGGCGCTTTAAACTGTAGTAATTCATCCGTACAGTGTCTTAAAGTTGCATTGATAAGTTGAAGTGATTTCAGAGTAAATCTCGTCACTAACCGAAATCATTCTCAGAACCACTGAAAGCTAAAGAACAAGCAACAGCTGATTCTGCCAAGTTTGGGATGTTCCAAGAGTATGGATCCACGACCTCAGGTGGCAGCTTTAGGATACGATCCATGGTGGGATGGTAGGTGCTTACTTGTGAAGAGTCCTACTGTTTCTTAGTCTTAAGTAATTACCTGCCTCATGTGCGTCGGTGGCACAGTGGTTAGGACGCTCGCCAACTATGCATATGGTCGGGGGTTCAATCCCCGGTTACCGACGCACTCCTTTACCTTGCAAAGCCAGTAATATCACTGATAAAAGAGAGAAGGTTGGGCATGAGGCCAGCAACCCCATCCTGTAAAAATAAACACTGCTACAGAAACTTCAAGCCTCTAGCTTGAAGCCCTATGTTCCACTGGGAACATGAAGGAATAAAAACAACAAAAAAACAACCTACCTCATGTCAGCTCGTGACAAAATTGTACATTTCCTACTGAATCTACAGTCGAATTGGTAAAAGCCATTTTTTAAAGGAATCTACTCTTCAGAATGTTATAAAGAATCATTGAAATCACAAAAAGCTTTGCAAAACCAGTCAGATTTCTAGAAAAAATCTTTCAACTAAATAAGAAATCACTATTCACCAGTTGATGAGCTGCCGAGACCAGATTACTCCAACTTTACTTATCAAGTGGTGACATTTGAACAATGCGATAAGAACACCTTTTGCAGGATAAAATGAATTCATATTATCTTGCAAAAGAAGTTCTTATGGCATTATTCAATTTTATCAAGGGAAATAACTGTATCAAGTAGTGGAAGTCAACTTTCGATGTAAACAGGGTATTCAATTTTTTAATTCCTTCACGTTCCCAGTGGAACATAGGGCTTCAAGCTAGAGTCTTGAAGTTTCTGTAGCAGTGTTTATTTTTACAGGATGGGGTTGCTAGCATCATGTCCAACCTTCCCTCTTTGCCAGTTCTATTAGTGGTTTGGCGAGGTAAAGGAGTACGTCGACTGGGGATCGAACTCCGGACCATGTGCATGGTCGGCGAGCATCCTTACCGCTGTGCCACCGACGCATGCCTTCATTATTACTACTTATTTTGTCCCCTTGCGTTCCAAGTACAATATAGGGCTTTAAGCTTGGGTTTAGGCAATTCAGTAGGAGTGATTTTTTTCTTCACGGGGGGGGGGGGGGTTGTTAGCCTCACGCTTTCAATAGGCTGGCAGGTATTTTATTAACTGTAAAAACCATAGGAAAACCATAGGGTATTCACTGATATGTATAAATTCCTCGGTCATCATGAAATGACTGTATAGCTATATAGTTTCTCCCAAAGCTGAGTTTTCTTAGCCACATCCTATATAGAACATTCAAGAGTATTAGCGAAGAGATTAGGAATAAAACATAATAACAACGAACTAATTCTTGAGTTTCAATGATTCACTGAATGATAAACTCAGTCAGCATAAAATAAATAGATAAGTTAAAAGTGTTCTCTGAATGGTAACGTGAAGTATTCCCCTTTGTTTAGGAACGTTTTACTTTGAAGAATGACTAGAAAATAATTTCCCCTGGGCTAACCACTTGTTAATATGCTGTCCTCCACAACTGAATTCTCCAACGATAGAAAGATGGCGTGTAACTTTTAAATAATGAACTTCATCCTAATTCCTGAGTTGCTTAACATTCTGTCATATAATTAAGTGACAGATTCACCTGATAATGTATCATCCTTCTGTCAATGTTTTCATTTCAGAAGGGGGTTATAAATTGAAAGTCACTAAGTAGTTTGTATTTTTTAATAATCTATATTAGTCTGGACATGAACATGATTAAGTCGAAATGTAAATGAACCGTGATCATAGTTGGACATTATGAATTGTTTGCCAGACCATTTGACCAGTAATTTACTTCATATTTTCCCGCGAATATAATTTTCTTCTAAGGTTACATTTAAAATAAGATTGTTGTGATCACTTAATATTCATTGTGCTACTTACTACTCATATTCCCGTCTAGTGACACATTTCAGTAATTAATAAGCATTGACGTATGGTAGAGGCATGTGTACTTGTGGATATGTCAGTGTACACAATGACACGGTGATTAGTTTGTTTACATTTTGTAAGAGATTATTAATTTCATTCATGTTTTTAATCATAATGATGAACAGATATAAATGTAAAAAAAGATGAACATGAAGTTTTGAGTTGAAGTACAATTCAGTATAATGACTGACAAGGAAGGAAGGAAGGAGGTGACAGAAGTAAATAAAGATGACAACAAATAGACTGTGAACTAATCTTTACATTCAGGTCAATGTTCATCTTAATCAGATTTGGCGACATCAAAATGTTTACATTTTGACATGATCCTAGAAGTATTGTTCACTTGCAAACTACTCAACAACAAAAAAGAATTTTTTGGCATGTTTTGGCGTATTTCTTTATTTGTCTTTCCTGTTTTCTTCAGATCTATGGATGTCTCGCCTTTAATCATACTCTCTGTCTTTTTCTCTCGGCTTCCTTCTCATATTGTGTTTCTCTGTCCCTATCTGTTTTAATATTATCCAGATAGAGACGTTTATTATTATTATTATTATCATTATAAGAAATGGTTGGTTAATGGTATAAGAATGAGAAAGAACAAAAAGTGCGTTTGTATTCATGTACTGCAGTAACTATCCACTTATGTGTATTTAGTAGTTGCAAGTGTCTGGACTAATGTGTATGGGTGTCTCTACACCAACCAACCTACCTACCTACCTATGTATGTATGCATAGAATTGCACGTGGACACACATACTATATTAGTGTAAAGTATGCCTACAACATCATATACGAATAATACCTACATAAATAATAATTCATGTTTGTACAGCATTGTACAACATTGAATAGTCAGTCTTTCAGCTTAACAAAAAGACTGTTGTTGCATTTAAAGATTTTCTTTTTACAGTTCGTTAATTTATTATAAATACATATAATAAATGTATCAAATAAAGTGAAAAGCACATACACAGAAATGTGTATTGTTTATTTGTATTCCAAAGAAAATCTGATTCACTTATTATTAATGTTATTATTATCATCATCCTCACATTTTTTGAATTTATTCTAGTAATAACAATGATGCATTAAAACATTAAAACAAAAAATTGCTGAATAATCCTTTTACTCTTCTCTCTGGAATACATTTATGTAATACTGATAATAAAATGATACAAAATGGAGAAAAATAAAAAGCGGTTTATTTAAGTACTAAAACAAACATATTTGTATAATAAGTGAAAAGTAACAATGTTGAACATTGAGCATACTTCATTCGTTATCCTGCATATCATTACACTATTCAATGGAATTTACTTGTGTTGTGCAGCTGAAACAGAAAATAATAGTAAGTTATTATTGTTATTATTATTATAAAATTGATTCTTTATTTTCATTACTGAAATAATGGTGATTTGTTTGCATTTCATAAACGCCATGGTAAATTATAGCAGCCATATTACCTTCGACAACCAATTAGAGTTACACAGGTGGAATAACCTTCTCTTCTAGATTTGCTTGCCTAGTTCCAGGAAGGTCGAGTGTTTGGTTACTGTATAAAAAGAGGGATAATTGCAGTGACTAAAGCATGCATATTCCGAGGAAGATATCACGGGATAAGTGGTGTTTTGAGAGGATTGGAATTTCGCTGTCGTCATTCTTATATAATTTTATTATTGATTTTTTGATAAATGAGACCTTGATTGACTTTAGTGACTTAAAGATTGACTTGTTCCCGGGTAACAGTCCTACTGATTTAGAGTATGCAGATGATATAGTTCTTCTAGGTGAAAGTGATGGCAAAATGCAGAGTCTTCTGAGCACCTTGGGTAGAAATCTTAAGATGTTTAGCGTGCACCTCACGCTGCCAGACGGTGCATACTGATTACTACTTTTAGAAAAGAGGTTAAAATACATAAATGTGTAGGCACGATCTTACCTGTTTGGGATGTTACATCAGATGTAATAGACAAGTTGCTGACTTAATCTCAGCGTGGGTACAAAGACTTGTCTGTAGTTTGCAAACACACCTCATATTTGGTGAGGGTATCAAAGGGTGTGTATGTTGTTTAGCAGTTTTCTCTGCCTTATTTTTCGGTTGTGACATATGGACACTGAGGATGGTAGGTGTACGAAAATTAGAGGTGTTTTATCATAAATGTCTCCGTTCATTTGATGACTATTATTACGGTGATATGATAAGTACCTGCACCTATGTGCAGCCTGGTAGATAAGGAGGAAAAGTCAGTTTATGGAACTGTGACATTTTATAGAGTGAGGTGTTAGACATTTCTAGTCACAGCCATTATTGACAGGTAATGTTAATTAAAACAGAGTTAGTTATGCTCAGATTAAAACGTGGTTTGAGACTCATAATATCACTGAGAGTTGGTGTTAGCCATGTACAGAAAAGTGAACTGTTTAAATGAGGATTTGAGACATTAAAAATCCGAGGCTGGAGACTATTTGATATAGTTGAAAATCATTCACACTGGCTCAGAGGTATTCATTCCGTATCACCTTCTAGATTCTCAAAATCATCACTTCTCTGCTCTTAATTATTTTCTCAGTTGCCCATCTTTGTCTAAAACAGTCCGATTTTAATTTTCGGAAATCTTTAATCACTACTGTTTTTTTGCATTTCATGCTTCTAGGTCAGCCAATAAGGGTTGTATAATTAAACAGGAATTATCAATATTGTTGGTAACTGATCCATATACACGAAGAACAGAGTTTTGCAAAGTTGGCAAAGACTAAAGTACTTCACTGCTATATTTCTTGACTGAGTCATGTATTAAAGTTAATTTATATTTCACAATGAGTTAACAGAATACTTCCAGCCCCTCAAAAAGGGAAAGAATCAAAGAAGTAATGTTCTGTAGTAGTAAGTAGGATCCATAATGTTTGAGGCGAGAAAGGTTAGATCAGATCAGTTATTAATATTATGAGCACATATCTGCAAGATGATACACAAATGTTGTTCAGCCTAGGGGAATTTGTGCATTGATAAGCTTGAATCAGCCTTATATGGCTTGCACACAGTCCCCTTTACCACCATTCAGTACTCATAACTTTACCAATCGATAGAGTTAAAATCACATTCAGATGAGCACGAAATTGTAGAAAAACAGATCCATAAGGTTGAGAGAAAAAAGGTTTTCCATATTGAACTAGGAGTCATCGGTGAACTAATCACCGTTTCAAAAATTCAACCTAAATACACTATAATCAATGGATTACAGATTAGAACTAGCAGTAAAAGTAGCTTCGAAATGGAATTTTCGGCTTTCTGATCGGCAGTTTTCATCCAAGAGGTCCATAAACTCAAACGTATTGCACATCTAGTCACTAGTAACGCAGGATAACACTGTCTGGGTTATTGAAACTGGAAAGTTGTAAGCCAATAGAACTCGGTTCAAACGGCTGAGTGTAAATAAGCTTTCAGCATGGTTTGACGTTTACTGGATTCAACTTCAAAAGTGCAAAATTAAAACAAAACAACCATCTAGGTTGCTTTAGATATCAGTGGTTTTCTGTTCTGTTGAGAAACCAAGCTTGGAGCAAATCCAATGCTCACCAGAAACAATATTTGATTTTCATGTACTCTGATGTCATTGTTTCGTGATTACCACATCTATCTTCAATTCTATCATCAGAATTACTTGCGAAAAGTGCTCTAAATAGTGATTTTTCATGTACCGAATTTCTCGGAATTGACGACAACGATTAAAGTAACCACAGTGATCAATTGACTGTAAAATATTATTTTTTAGTTGAAACCTGTCTAGAAGGATCTGTAAACTGATGTGATTAGTTTTCTACTACAGACCCGGGTCAGTAGTATATCCATCGTTGGCTTCTACTTGTATTCATAGTTTAAAACCGATGTGCAGTGTTTTAAAAAAGTTATTGGGAATAGCAAGTCCGTTTGTACAAATGATTCAGTTTTATTTTCAAAACGTCAAAACTATTTTTATGTATCATTTATAAATTCATCAAAAATAAGTGTACACATTGGATATGAGTGACATTTTGATCAGCAGTGTGTGGAACACTCAACCAACCTCACACACAATGTTCAATAACTAACCACTTTTGTTTACAGAGTAAGCGCATATACCGTCCAGAGAAGTCTTTTTTTACCACAATGAACAACCTCACTATTCAATGTCATCATTTTTGTATCATTTAGCATTTTGACAAGTTTTCTAAACATCATTCACTTTTATCAGTCATAATATTTTCAAAGGTTGAAACAAGTGATGAAAACGACTGTTTACATCAAACACTGTGTATATAAAAATCTTATCAAACAGTTAGATAAATGTATTTGATCACAAATCAGTTGTATTTGTCCTAATGATTGTATCGAATTCCCACAATACATGTTAAAATCATTTCAGTATAGAGTAATCATATATTACTGTCAAAAATAGTTGAGGTGATTTTCAAATTTTAGGATGGGTATACAGAGTTAAGCATAATAATTCTGTTTGTATTGGTAATATAATTAGGTTGATTAGTGAAATGTTGATCATTTGAAGAGTTTGTACTGTAAGTCAAAATGTCAACACAGGCCGAATATTTCAGTCCAATACAATCAATTGACAGTCCACTGCTTTGGCGTTTGAAACGATAGGTGTAAAGTCTAAGTTTCAATGGCAATACCATCAATCATAGGGTATGAAGGTAGGGTTAGCAGGCAAGTCTCAAATAGGATGAAATGCACATCCTGGATTCCAACGCTGGTCAAACTGTGCTTGAAAATTCTTCAGTAAATAATATTGTGCCTTTGAGTAAATAAAATTATCCGATACTGGAGAAAACCAAAAAACTGGCGGAAGAGGCTGGCAGGCAGTGAAGACAGGGCTCTAGGTGAACGCAGAGAAGATAAAGGTGATGGAGGTAACCAACGACCTAACCACCAACAACAACCAGCACTAATCATCATCAACGGGTGAGATTTAACAAAGGTTGCACGGTTTCAACCACAATCGGGCGGAATGGATGAAGATGTCAAAGCCAGGCAGAATCGGAAAGGCAAGATACGCATTCATCAACCTGAAACCAGTTTAGAAATCTTCTGCACTCTGCCTCAGCATAAACAACATGATTCGGATTTTCAACACCAATGTCAAGTCAGTCCTTCTCTACGGGTCAGAAACTTGCACTGCATGTCACGAAAAGAATTTCCAACAGGTTGCGGACTTTTATGAACAGCAGCCTTCGCTCCATACTGAAGATCAAATGGCCAGAAAGAATTAGTAACAAATATGTATGAGAAAATGGAGATGGATTAAGGACACACTGAGGAGACTGTGGAATGACATCGCGCGCAGTCCCAATAGGAAGCGACGAGTGGATCTTCGATGTGAAGGTGACATGCAGGAGATCGTGTGAGTTAGACTAGAAAATGAGAGATTATGTGGGTATTCGTGTACCGAGCTGAAGAGGATGGCAGAAAATAGGAAGAAGTGGAGATATGTTGTTGAAGCCCTATTTTCCACTCGGAACCCAAAGGAATAATGATAATATAATATATACAATAATATACTGGCATTATACCCTGCCACAGTGCTTTAATTTTATTCCTGCACCAATAAGCCTTATTTTGCTAGAAAATGTCCAGTCATATGTATGGAACTCATTATCCATCCTAAATTTCACCATTATGCCTTCTTGAAAATAGATTTAATGATAATTTTTGTAAAAATATTAAGATGAACTGCATCGGAAAAAGTGCATAACTGTAGGCAGTACAGTTTATTGTAAACTATTTAACTCCTAACATTAGTTAGTATGTATCTTCTCAAAGCATCTGGAAATGTTATAGACGTATAAATCTGAGATATTGTTCACTGGTTCAATTAATTTACCTTCACCTAATTGGTATACATACTTTAAATGAAGAGTCAGTTCCTTTTTTGTTAAGAGTAGAATAAAGCGTTGATAGCGAAAACAATGAAGAAATTATACAGGAAGTTGGAATAATAAACGTATGATAAAAACAAAGATGTTACAGATTGCAAAGAGAAGAATACTGTGGAATTTGAAGGTGAATTCCAAAGTAAGTGTAGGAAGTATCACACTCACGTGAAGGGTTTGTTTATTCAAACAAAATTATTAGAAAGGTTTATAATAACAAAGACTTTAGTTAAACGAAAAGCTAATATGAAAGCGGAAGAGTATCAGCATCAAGTTGTTCTTTTTTATTCCTTTACGTTCCCAGTGGAACATACGGCTTCAAGCTAGGGGCTTGAAGTTTCTGTAGCAGTGGTGTTTATTTTTACGGGATGAGGTTGATAGCATCACGCCCAACCTTCCCTCTTTAGCAGTCTTATCACTGGT